TCTGCCCCATCTCTCATTGTTTCCAGACTTCAATCCCACTGAGCACATGTGAGATGAGTAGCAGAGAAGGCTTTTCGGTCACCATCCATAGAAGTTGACCTGCAACAACTGAGTGCAGTGTTCCCACATTTATGGAGTGAAATTCCGTATGAAATAAGTGACAATCTTACTAATTGTCTAGTATTACAGACTAATAATAAGTCTTACTATTCCTAACAGATGCACAGAGGGTTTAGCTAATAGAGTACATTATACACGGCATTAATTATTTTAAAATGTTATTGTGTCCAATAAATAAGTTATGGAATTAAAACCTTTTAATACCTTAATTAAATTTTCCTTCAGTAAAAAACAATCATTTCAATCAATTTTAGTGCAATTTATAATAAAATTAAATAAAAATGCTAGGGAAAGTAAATATTACAAAATTGGCAATATCCCTATTAATTTTTGAGCTGTTTATTTAATGTGTCCTTCAGTTCACAGTTAATATTGCATACCGACATGAGTGGTTCCTCTGCTTTTTGATTTATTGAATAAAAGATTTTTTACCGCTCACCTCCGTACTCAGTCATAAAGAGTCTAATGAACCATCAAGAACAATTATCAGAATACAAATTGATGTTAAGGTGATAAAAACTATATTTTGCTCAACGTGCACTTTAAAAACTAACCGCCTATCAGGTCCCTCGGCGCAAAAGTTATTGTGGTCAATGTAGATTAGAAGCTCGGTGGTAATTAAAAGAGTTAATGGAAGAATGGCAATTAATTTTACTGGTGTTTCTTTCCCTGCAGTGTGTCAAATTGACAGGAGCTGGCTGTATAGAATTGTGGGGTGAGTGGCCATGGTTTGATTCAATGGCAAGAGGGGAGGAACCAATTTCACAGCGCGTTTAGATCCTCGTCCGTCCGTGGCATCCTGTCTGACGAGGCAACTTGGTGACTATCACCCTTCTACTGAGACGTCTTGAGAACCTTGAGTTCAGAAAGCTGAAAGGGTTTGATCCTCCTTATCAAACAGGTGTTTAAATCCTTGCTCTCCAACACGTCAAGTGAGAATGAAAAAAAGGAATAAAAACAGAGAAACACGTGTAGTAAAAAAAAAGTGCAAATGGTTTGAATGTGTTATCAAGTCGAACGTGTACTTTTGAGATAAACCCTTCAAATCAAATATTTACTCTTTTTTTATATTTTGATCAACGAAAATAACAACCATACAAATTCTTAGAAGCTAACTTATATGGCATAATTACTCTTTCCATGATAATTGGGTTTCTATTAGCTAGATATGCCTCCCTAGTGTCCAAGGTAGGTCCCGTAATCGGAAATATATTAAGAGTTACCTTTTTGTATGTTAAGTGACCTTAAGTAACTCTTCCATCTTTCCAGCATCCTTCTTGTTTCTATTTAATAAATTAAAGTTGTCAAAGTTTTAAGTGTTAGATGTATCCGCCACTTTTCTACTTCCAAATGCTATCACGGTATGATCTTGATGAAAAAGCAAATTCAGTGGTTACTTTCGACCTATTTTACCTTAAAATTACAACTGAATTTGCGTTTTTATCAAGGCAGTACCGTGATCCACAGTATTCGAAAGTGTTTTATTCTCCAGAATCTTAGTGACACAAGTATCAAGTTTTTCTTTCTTTAACAGTTCTGCTAAATTAAGAATAAGATGCATAAAAACTAGACAGCAATACCAACATAAAATTATAGATTTATTTGTCTTATGAAGAAATGTTGTCATTTTTAACCCCATGGATGTACATTATAATAATTAAATTGTCATCTAAGCAAATAAAAATGAACACTCTCGCGCGCACACGAGTACAGTGGATTAAGTTAAGATGCTAAATTTTTGATCAGAAATAAGTCGCTCGACCGCTAGGATTACTTATCAATTAAAGTTTCTCAAAACGAGGGTCCAAATTGATAGTGGTTGAGATGAGGAGAGAAGTTAATGAAGTCGTCGTCCATTCCCGGCTGATTCCTCTTTCAGGCCTCTTTGGGCGAAGAGGGGTTGTCGTTCTCTCGAAAAGTGATTAATCACTTCAATTCCCTTCTGGCAATTTGTACAAACTGAAGGATCCACCCCCTGGCAAGAAGAACTATTAGAAACTGAGGGATGACACCCTTCTCCAAACCGGGTGCCTCCTTGGAAACGTGTTGCGAATTTATCACTAAGATCATTACGAAAAGTCCAAGCAGTTCTATACCTGTACGTGCAATGTGGGCTTACAGTAGTTTTTAAAAGAGAGCATCGCTAACATTTCGTTCGATATTCAACTATCTTATTTACTTAGTTTATGACCTGGGACTTCCATCTTACGAGTTGAATTTATTAAACAATATGTTTAACGATTAAGATATCCATAATATTCTGTTGAGCCACCAAAGTTTGCTGTACTTGTTCTAGTTGAACAACCTATAAATGAATTCAGCCCCAGTATATGACCATACTAAGTTAATGTCTTATCCATTCATTTTGGTCCGCCTGTCCTCGCAGCATTTACATAGTTTACAGGCGCGTTCTCGCTATTCAACTTTCGTTGATCAAGTTGATTAAGTTTTTTCCACAGTTTCAATAAAAAATTATCAATTTTTTTAAGCCGTTAAATGTTCTTTTGTATAGATGGATCTAACTTTCTAAATTTTGTTCTTCAAAATGGCAATAGTACGTCCGACAATTTCCATATCTTTTACAATAGAACCCGTTTTTCTCACACCTATATTTTTATACTCATCTAGTCACGTCATCATTATGCTGCGAGGTTTATAACATTATAAATGTCCGCAACATTTGTGCCAAAGACGCCACACAGGCAAAAGGCAAACGTCATACTTTTCCAATAATCCGGGAATTTTAATTCTTTGATAATAGAAAAATAAAGTATTTTCTCTATTGATTTTTATAGATAAGACACTGATTCCAAAGGCAGTATTGTTTAGGATAAAATTTCTAATAATTTGAGCCTCATACTTCACGTCCATTTGACTCTTTTTAAAAAAATCTATTTTATAGACAAAACCGAACACGTGCAGTAAATGAACTATTCAATTGTAAGTTCATAGTGCACACGTTTTAAGTCATATTTCAACTTGAAAGATCAGACTTTAGTGGAATCGACTGTAAGTTGATCAACTCTGTTGAAACGAAGGTTTTCACGGAAAATCCCTTTCAACTTTAGTCGTTGCTAAAGTTTAACAGTGTCTTAAATGTAGGAGAAGTACATGGTAAAAGATGGATTTTTTAATTTTATAATTTCAATTAGGTTCGCACAATCATATAATTTAAAATATATATAGTGATTAACGTTGGCTCAATATGTCAAAAACTTATTTATTTTAGAACAAGCTGTTATCCTTTTTCTTTAATTACTTCGAAACAAAATGCAGAAATTTGACGCTAAATTGGAAAAAAGTGGTAATGGGGTGTAAAAGGGGGAAAGGGGGTTAATTTAGTAATTAAACTTTTTGTCCTGGGTAAAATTTATTTCCCATCTTTTTAATGCAAAAGTACAAAAAGAAAGAAAAATGAAACAAAACACATAAATAAGAGGTAGCAAACGTAGAGAACAAACGAAACAGAAAAAGTTGAAATATCTTCTCAAAACACAGACAAAAGAGAAAAAAAAGAACTCCAGTACAGAAGTTGTCAAATTCAACTTTAAACCTAATAAAAAAAAGCACAAAAAGAAAGAAAAATTCAACGTAAAAACCAAACATAACACATAAAAGAGATTTACTTTTTTCTTTCCAAAAGGTAGATTGGGGATGAGGCCAGGAAGACAGAAACAACATTCATTTCCTTGTCGAGCTTTCGGCAGAATATATTTATTATTTATTTATATGAATTGATATTTATTACCTTCGTTTATCGAAGGTGGGCTCCACCGGCTATCCGTTATCCACACATGTACTTGTTCATATAATATAACGTTTTTTCGAAGTCCTGATGAAGGCGATATATTCTGCCGAAAGCTCGACAAGAAAATGAATGTTGTTTCTGTCTTCCTGGCCTCATCCCCAATCTACCTTTTGGAAAGAAAAAAGTATATTTAAACTGAGAAGGCTGATCAATCACCAAAGAAAAAAAAACATAAAAGAGAGACAATAAACGTAGTGAACAACCAAATTACGTTGATTTTTCCTTTTTAAACCGTAGATAATTAAAAAAAGTTGAATATCAGTGAAAGGGTTGAGAATAGCACCATGATTCATAAGAACATTTTTGTTGCATTTGAGGTGTAGGAACACCCGACTAACTTGGTCAGTATCGAATCACCCTTTATATGCATAATATGTAGGATTATTGCTATATTTATATACAATGGTGAATTATTTTCCAACACGATCCTTTAGTACATCGTTATGTATATAATATTTTATGAAAAAAATGAATGTTTTTGTTCTATACACAAAGGAAAAAAAAAAGATTTTTTGATTTTTTATATCCTTTTGCGGATTTCTCCAAAGCTGAATCTTCTTTACGTTTTGACTTGAGGCCTGACGCAATTACGCATCGGTTTTTGAAATCTAATTCACTCTTTTGCAAATCAATTATTTCTACATACTTAATCTCTACATTATATTTAAAAACGTCGAATAAAGATAATTAGTTAGCAATACATCTATAAGGGATTAAAAAAAGTAGTCGAAAAACGCGTTTGCACTAAAAAAACAGATGTTGTACTGGAAAGTGTAGTTCTTTGTGATACCCAATTTATCGGCGATAGAAATTGTTTTAAACATACAAACTAAGTAAAAAAACGCAAATAAAAAATATTAAATCAGTACAATTTAATTGGAGGTCACATGTAAAGTAAAGAAGGGATAAAAAGCGTTATGAGTAAATGCTATTTGCGATAGTAGAGAGTAGTGTCGTCAGAATTGCCGTAGATACTGCCATAGATAGCCGGTGATCCCCACCTCGGGATGTACTTACACGAGCGTCGGAGTCAAAAAAACCAAACTTTTACCATGAGGCCATTCAGTGGCGTTACGGGATCGAACCGGGAAACTCCGTCCGTCCTGCTACTCTCCGGTCTGTCGACGTTCGCTTTTTTTTTGCCCCCATCAACCCGAGTCTCTCGTATTCGTAAAACGGCGGTCCGACCGGCCCCGCTCTTCAACGGAGTTCCGAGCCAGCCCGGTAGAAAGCGGACCAGGCCGGGCTTCCAGAGGTAGTAACCGCATGCCCTCCCGGTAGATGTAGCGCGCCTTTCGTCCCTCCAATGGCCCGCGCCTCTTTTTCAACCGGACCGACCTCTAATCCGCTGTAGTACATTTCGCTTGACAATAATTAACGGACGCCGAGGCGTCTTTCGGCCCGGTTTATCGCCGGATCAGAGATTAGGGCCCGAGTTCTAGACCTCCTCAGTATAAGTTTATCGGTCGAATGTGAGTGTTTGACTATCTACATATAAAATGGAAAATTCGTCATGAGGGACGGTTTATCGATTTATCCAAATGGATTTTTCACCAACAGCTATTATGGTAAATATAAAAAAAAAACTACTTTGCACGACAGACATTGTACATTAAATTTATTAAAAATTAGTAGCAGGACCAATAATAAATCCGTGAAATCGCAGAAAAACGTTCATGTTCCTTAAAAATCAAACACAGTTCCACAGGGAAAATATATTGTCATTGTATTGATAAGAAATTTAAGCTTTTAAAATGAATGAGTATTGATTAAAAATGCAAAAAAGCACGTCAAATACCGCGTAACTCCGATTAAATAACCGATAGGTAATTAATGTACATTATTAAAGTTTCAGGCTAATTAGCAGTTATAATTATTTAATTAAATAACTATATAATAACAACTATATTCACATTAAATATTAAAGGTAACTTTTATTTTAGTATTAATGATTGATCAAATTTGCCCTCAAATTTATTATAATTATTTATCTACGAGCAAAAGCCTATTTTATTAGAATAATTACAAAAAGACAAAGAAATAAAAATAACAAAGTATAACGATTATTCGGAGATCGTGAGATGCGGTCTGGTGTGACGTAGGTTTTAGAAAAACATCATGCCAACGTTTCGATCTATATTGAGATCATCTTCAGGGCTCAAAGTGTTTGTTTTCTGCGTAATTGTGTCATTCTTGTGTGTCGTGTTGAGAGTGCCCAATCGTTGACTAACGGTCACTAAACACCACACATAAAGTATAACTTAGAAACAAGCATTTGAACAAATAATAATTGAACAATAAAATAATAATAAAACAACAACAAAATACTAATAATTGAAACAAATAATAATAATTGAAAAATCATATATGGGATTTGACTTTGACTAGTAAATAATAATATATTAATAAATCTTAATTTGCAAGAATGTACATTACATATAAATGTACAACAAAAAATAACATTTTGGTACATCCCTGCCTGCTGTCAAAATGCAAAGCTTGTACTATACAGCAGGAATTTTTGGAGATCATCAGAGAAATAAACAGAATATATCTTTACAAAAGCACAATAAAAAACAAACAAATAAACAAATATAATACAGAATAAAAGTGTAGCATGAAAAAAAGAACCAATGAAACATTGGCCTTAAAATATCTTAATTACAATTTAAAATTTGTGAACTTATACATTTTTTGGCTTCTTTGTAGTTTTTGAAATTTTGAATAATCCTATCTTTTTACATTGTAAAAATGTGAGTTAGCCAATGAACTAACTTGTGTTATTTTCTCTGATGTAACTAGTTACAATNTATATATATATATATATATATATATATACACACATACATACATACATACATACATACATACAAACATAAACATTTGGATAGATTCATTAAATAAAAACAATTATAATTAATTAATTATGCACACATATATACGTAGATAAATATACACCAACATACATATCATGCAAACATACACACATACATGATTCCAACAAATGTAATATAAGAAGATTTGATCAAAATTACCACTTCGCAAATTTTATGATGTTTTTGCAGTTATTTTATTATAAGCATTATGTTTTATATATATAAGCATAGCATTAATAAGAAATAATAAGCATAAGGCTTTTTTTAAATTTTCGGTAGGTTGAATTATTATTATATACATTCTAAAAATAGGTAATGGTGAATGTCATGATGAAGTAATTTTAAAATTCATCCAGTTTACCCTAGAATATATAGGCAAAATTAATTGTTACTTATTACACTTATGTTATGCATTCACAAGAGGGGAAAAGCAAATACAACATAATAACAAACCGCTCTTCACTCGAAAAAAAAAAAAAAAAACAAAGAGAAAAAACACATCGGTAATCCGTTAAGAAAACATAGGCACTCCACAGAGTCCAATTTAATTATCGAATTTCACGGTCGAAATGAAATTTTATGAAGCCGTAAAAAAAATATTGTCATCTCAAATTGAAAAGTACGACCTGAAATAACGCCCATGTTGAAAAAAAGCGCTTTGTTATTCTTAAATTAACGGCCTTTTTTAAATTTGTTTAGATTTTGTTTATATACGGCTACCTTTTGTTTTATGTGTGTGTATTTGTTGCGAAAATTGAATTGAAAGTTGATATTTGAGGTGTTCGTTGTAACCTAACTCTTAAGGACGAAATTTTGCGGTTTCTTTTTAAATAGAAAAAGTAGAGGGTAAATTTTACTTACTTATATTCTATCTGTTTAATCCAATTCTGTCAGTTATTCCAATATTCTCAGTAATTTTACAGAACATCTTTACTGGTTGATAACATCTGTAAGATTTGGATTTGTTTCGAGTTGCAATACGATATCTTGTATTTTAAAGGCGACAGCTTCCTAGTTGGCTCTAGTTTTGACTAGGTGGTTTTTTTTGTGCGTTTGTGTTAAAATATTCAGATCTATTTTAGTACGATTTTCTTAAGCTTAAAAAAATTGTAACACTGTGGGCCGTCGACTATAGAACTAGGATCGTTTTTTTTGTAACAACGTTAAATAAAAATCAGCGTTTTTACAAAAGCTTATCTATTTTCTTAGCCGAATTTTAAGAGGAAAATAATATATGACTGTTTTATCACCTTGTTCAAACGGTGTTTTTTGTCAATGTTTTTGTATTCGGTTTTCTTGATTTTCATATCCCATTTAGTGATGTTCGCCTTTTTACGATCTTTGGGGGTTTTTGGTTACTTTTGACTTCTCCATGATCGCCCACGGTTTAAACATTTCATCCATCGTCACTACATGTTTAATAAGTTGTCTGTCAAATAAATAATTATTTTTAAATTTTTGCCGTTTTTTCTTTATTTGTAGAGTTTTCGTTCTTTGTAGTTTAAAACGTTGCAGACAAAAAAGCGGAAACTCGTATTTTCTTGTTTATTTCAAAATGTATCTATTTTTATCGTTATATTATTTGCTCCTTGCTTATTCTAATTGAAACTAAATTAAACGAGATCAGAAATTCACGAGTGTTAGTAAGAATTATTTAATTAAGAACGTTTGACAGAAAGTTCTCCAAAACACTCAAAAACCGGCAAATCATTTAGTGATACATTAAAATTTAAAAAACAATTTATCCCCTAGTTTTGCTCTTAATAAATTTTATTACACCTCTGGCCACGCGGAATGGCGACCAGATTTCGTCTTGCGCTCGTCTCATGCCCCATAGGTGTTCTAAAGTATTTATGTCAGGAGAACGTGCAAACCACTTTTTTGTTAATCCCTACGAAAAATTCGTCCCCAATAAATGTACCTTAGTGCAGTCAAAGATCCTTCCTGTCAAAGATCATTCGGTACCATGAATGTTGATTCCACCCCATACCATAACTGACTGTATCTGAATAGGTTGTGACTCACTCTCTTCGCCAGTCTTCGGATTGCCATAAACCAAACCGGCACTCTTCTGTGAAGAGAACAGGCCCCATTGTTCAAGTTATTGGCCGCAAGAGGTGTTGATTTGCGAAGCTTCTCCAGTAGTAGTGCGCCCTGATGTGGGACGTCTAGGTAGGTTGTGCAAGCCTTCTCATGACTGTTTTCGAGCTCACCCTTATATTACGGATGGAGATGACTACCTATCAAGGAAGCCGTTAAATGGCGGTTCCGAAGTGCGATGAAAGCAATAAACTGAACGTCGCTCTCCTATATCGCCGTCGACCATTACCTTCTCTTCCGAGGCTTCCCTTGGCCCAAAACTGCTGTAGACCATCGTGGATGGTACAGCGCTGCACAACCAGTACTTGGGCTAGGAATTCGACTTAAAATCTGTGTCGCTAAATAGTCGTAAATGAACTACCATTAATATTTATTATTACATGGAGTTTTTCTGACTAACAGCAAGGCCTGATTCATGCTAAATCGTCAAACGTAAGCGTCATTTAGGTTTTTGTTTAAAATAAAACCTAATTGATAGAAAATAATCGTTAATAATGTCTATTAAGGTTTTTGTCGGAGAGAGACCCGATTGATACAAAACAATCAAAGGTTAGGGTTATCTGTTTTTCCGAAACAAACCTGACTGATGCTCAACTCTTAGAATTAAATTTGATTTTTATAGAATAAGAAACATTGAGGCACATTTTAAGTCATTTCAAATGTTATATCAAACTGTATACTAGTTTATCCCAGAAATCTTCTTTTTTATTATTATTATCAGACGAAAACGTGACATTTCGGTTTTCTTTGATTAATGTTTTTAGCATTATTAAAAGTGTATGAGATGTTTTTATCATTGAAAAGAGATAATAAATAAATTTTATCTTAATGCTATTCATACAGCAATAAATATTGAAGCTAGGTTTCTCGTGCAACTACAATTTTCGTTACGTCAAAGTCGGTTTTCCCATCAAACTGTAATATAGTCCAGTTGATATTTTTTTAAAAGAAAGAAGTAGTTGTTTATATATATAAAACACCAGAAATTGTCCCCAGGCGTGTTAAACACGTTTCGGCTGTGATTGGAGAAACGTCGCAAGCAGCATCAACCTGTCACTCCTCTATTTTTTTCCAACTGGGCAATTTCAGAAACCACGTAGTGACCTAGAGGCTGAGAGTTCTAATAACAACTTTCAATCGCCGTGCTGCTAAAGCGATTCCTTTCGGACCTTCGTCGCTTATCGGCTAATCATAGTAATTACAAATAGCTAATGCAGAACCTAGTCATACCGAATCGGCGGACACGGCTCGTTTGCATAATTTAAAGACAAAGTAAATTCCCAGAGGGGAGAAATATCTTCGGAAAGGAAAACAACCAATCTGCATATCAACTAATATCAAACCTTCTTCGGGTATTCTTTTTCGGAAATATGTTTTATACAGGAATTTATATGAATATTCAGAAAGGACGCAACCCCTTAACAAGAACTAATTAATTGATTAATCCACTTATTTTAATTCACCGAACTTATTTCGATTGCACTGCATCAGGATGCATAATATAAATATGCAATTACAAATATTAATCTAGTCTATTTTTTTTGTTTTTTAAAACTTTTATGAGCATTAACACCATAATTTATTTCCATTCTTTGCATCAAATTAAAACTTAATTGTGATCGTTTCTGTCACTATTTTACGTAAAGTAAGGTAAGGTGAGGTAATCCCTGTCACAGCAGTCCTTAACGTGCATTGTATCGAACTAGGGCCAAAACACATTACTATACTTTTTTACTACACCTTCCAACTAAACATTGCCGGGATTCGAACCCAGAACCTCTTGTGTGGTAAAAACGTGTCGTTCGGCCTGACCTGGCGGCCACCGCGGTTTCAAATCTGAATACTATAGGCATCAAATATTTATGAAATATAAAAAATAATATTCTATACAATAAATTGACGAAATTCTCATAAAATATATATATAAATTTGTTTCTCTTTCACCCTTTCTCTTCCCTTCTATTTCTCTCACCCTATCTTTCTTTTCATTTTACTCTTTTTCTCTATTTCTATTTTTGTTGTAGTTATTACTCCCCCTCACCCTCTCTCTGTTTCTCTATCTATCTCGCTCACTCTCTCCCTTTCTTTTCGATTTACAACTCCTTATTCTCAACCAAGAGAGAAGGCAAGAACCAAGACAGTATTTTTTCTGTTGCCTACGCTGTTTTTTCTGTGGTTAGCAAAATAATACATGTTAATATACAATAAACATGTAAATTAATATGACTTATAATTATGATACTACTATATCTGCAAAAAAGTCAACGTCAGGTATAAATCATTCTCTCTCTCTCTCTCTCTCTCTCTCTCTCTCTCTCTCTCTCTCTCTCTCTCTCTCCTCTCTCTCTTTCACCTCTCCCCATATCTCCATATCTATCATGTCTATCTATCTATATTTATATAATATTTTTCTTCTCTCTCACTCTTTCTCTCTCTCTCAATCTATTTATCTATTTACATCTTATACAATGGCCACCGCGGGGTCCCATCATGATTTCATAAACTACTTATAATTGTAATTACTAGCTTTTAACCCAACATAATAATTATCTCACTGCTATTCAAACTCCAACCTTTTACATATATTTATAATCGACAAAATTATTTCATTAAAGAGTCAATTTCTATTGAAATTTTGAAAGTGATTTAAGTGTAAGCCGATGAATAATTAAAAACGGCATTGTTTTCTTTTCTCAAATAAAAACTTTTAAAGCTCGTAGATACTTTTAAAATGGACCCCCTCCCCTTCTTAAGAAAATTGATTTAAATTGCAAAGTAACATTTAAAAATTAGTATTTTCCGCCATTTCCACCAAGGTGAACACCCTTAGATTGACTGATTTGGTGTTAGATCGATAAAGATTGCGTTGACGCATAAGTTTAATTTAAAAAAATTATTTTCGTGAAATCTTTGCACTAAACCTTGCAATAAATCGCCTTTTACGTCTCTGTTAAAGTTTAAATGTCTGTTCTTTTGAAGTCAATTTATTCAGTCAATACCAAATTATGTTCAGTTACTACTATTCGAAAAGTACAGTACAACTATTGACAGCAGCCATTTGTAATATAATGTACATTTATTTTAAACAATAGAATAATTAATTAATTCATAGTGAAATTACCACCGTGGAATGACGCTTATTATGAATAAATATAAAATGAAAAAGAATAAAGTTTATCTAAAGTATCACTTTTCATGGACGAACATTGTCTTTTTCGCTTCAGTTATTGGTCGTCTTGACATTTTTGACCAGGGTGAATTTCGAACATCATTGTCCAGAAATCTGAAGAAGCAGCACTGTCGCATAGCCATACCACTGGGTACCTGACCACATACCAGCGAATTCCCCCCCCCCATCATGTTAAGAAATCTCGTTTGTGAAAATCCGCCTACAACATGAAAGAAAGGATCGGCGCAGCATGTCAGCTGTGTTTGCTGGTTTTTTACGATGTACGGCTTTGGCCCCCTCGTCGGTCCTTTTAACGTTTTTATATGTTCATATATATCACAACCGTGTTTCAACGCTGATTAATTTGGAATTCGACCACGTCTTCAATAACTGCAGCCTTATTGAGACCCCCGGACGAGATTTACAGCAATAGGGATCATGTCGTCTCTCCCGGCTGTCACTTTAAATCTTAATCAAAATTCTGTTCCTCCAGATTCTAATCAGTAATAAGAAAGTTTCGGATTTCTCTCCTTTGGCCGGCGGGGGCTGGGGAATCCGAGACAATAACACATTCTGGTCTTGCCTGTTGGAAAATTCTTCCTCACTTTAAAATTTGACCGGCACTACATTTATAACTATACGTACAATATATATACTCTGTAAGTACAACAAATGCAAGGTATATGTAGAAATATTTAAACATTTGTATATAAAAATTAAAATAATGACCAGTATTCTCTACAGCATGTTTGGATTACAAAGTTCGTTTACGTTTATTTTTTTATGAACTCATATTACAACTAACGTAACCTTATAAGGGTTAACTAACGTTATGGCATCAAGAAGGGCTTAAAGAGAGGAGAACTACCCATTGGTAGTCCATATTTACATAGAAACTTATTTAAATCTAACTTAGATTTATACGATTTATTTTCTCACTCAATCGTCAGATTGGCCAACGCCGTAATCTGCGGGTAAGGCTAGATGAATATAGCGGTATGAGGGCGTTTCAATTATAGGGTTTATAGTGATAGGTTGATGTGTGTAAAATTCCGACAGTGTGATCGAGTAACGCTGTACATAAAGGGAATATTTAAATTTTTTGTGCAGTCGCATTTGATACATAAAATTCGCAATTTTTCCAAAGATTTGATTGGGTGGTTTGAGTAGGGATGATGTTTGGGCGTTCGTGTCAACCCTAGGATTCTATGCGCATATAGCCCATATTGTTTTAGTACGAAGTTGTGCAGTGATGTTCGATCGTTTGTCAAACAGTCGTGAGAGGTTTTTTGTATAGTTTCACCGGTTCTTGTCGTGGATTTAGCGCCAATTTCTATGCATCTACTGCACTTTGTGTGCTATTGGAATATATTGAAGGATTAATTGTTCCCCGAAAGATAAATGTTTTGTAGGTTGATTTTTCTATTTTACTGTAGTTCTTAGGCTCCAGTGAGGCGTTGTTAAAGGTTTCGAGTAGAAACCTCAGTTTCTTCAGAAGATTGCGGTTGTCTGCAATGATTAGCTTGGTGGCTTAAGGATGGGATGTCAGTGTGGGGCCCAGAACGATATCTTGAAGAGCAAGCAGGGATAGGATGCAATGTGGGGAGGAATTTTGCCTTCAACGACTCGGAAAAACCGCTCAGGTAGCTGTGAAGTAGGACATAATACATATAACATGCCAAAATCGATCAAAAAATTGGTTTACGCCAAGAAAGGCTCCGAAACGCAAGGCAGGATGACATAATGTGTACGTACGAAAGTATTGAAGTTTGAAAACCAAATTGATGTTCAGGAATTATAATTTGTGAATGTAGGATAGTTTTGAATATGCGTTTTTCTAAAATTTTATTTACAATGCGTAGTAAACATTCTCTCTCTCTCTCTCACTCTCTCTCTCTCTCTCTCTCTCTCTCTCTCTCTCTCTCTCTCGCTCGGCATACCAGGACGAACAGAGCCTTCAAACTTCGTCCAAAAGTCTATAAAAATATCACAAAATAAAATTTTTAACACCTTGTTTCTTAACGCCCTTTGCTAAAGCGGAGTAAACATGTTTTAAAAATGAATTAAATTTATGTAATCCGATCGATTTACGATAACACTTCCAAATGTGGAACGAGTTGACAGACCTTATTTTTGAACTTATTTTTATAGAAACTTAAATTTTGTTGTTTTAGCATGGTGTAGGGTTGTAAAAATCAATCAGATTTTCTCTCCAATTTTATGTATTTTTCATTACATTGAATTAGATCAATTTACTTATTCATCATTATGTTATATTGTGTTATTTATTCGTCTTAACAATTACATACGCTACAATATACATACACTGCTGCTTTTTCTACAGCGTTCACATCTCGACCACCACATGCTCCTGAAGTTTTCTAATCCTCTAAAATAAGAACAGGAAGACAGGATATCGATGAACTGGACACCTGTCCTTTCCCCGCACTCCCATTATCAACCTGCCAATTAAGACCCGGCATAATTAATCTGAAGTGAAAAACTTTACCTCGTTCAACGGAACTCGTCCCGCCGCCTATGTCGGCTTAAGCGCTTTCCTGTTGAAGACACGTCCGTTCGATATACTCTTAGATGTTATTTGTTCTTTAATACTTAAAAAAAAGAAGATGAAGAAGCTTTATATATACATACATCATTCAACCAAGTTGATTATATTATCTATTTCATAAGTTGGATTGATACTTTGATATCTTTTACATAAACGTATCTGTTACGGCCCATGCATAGACACATACCTACAATCATATCTAAATAATCTGTACACTCCTCTAGATTTCTCCAATTAGAACAAATCAATTCATTTCATAAGAATTTTTATCTTTTTTTATCGCTAAATCAACCCTATAAATTAACACTTTTTAATTTGAAATAACCCTTTTCGCATCAAATTGAACATTTTTAACTTCAAATTGACATTTTTTAAAATTTCGAATTAAATTCCTTTCCCCGATCTTACCTGACTGATCGCTTCTTTCAAGTCACCCAGGGAACATCCGTCTCTGATTATTATCCTGTTAAGGCTGGAGGCTCGGAGAGTAGTATCCTTGGTCCCACCCTGTATTCCACGTACACCTCTGATCTACTTAGCAATTCACATTTTCGCAGTTGATACTGCTATCCTGCTTCTAATAAAGATCACGTCATCTCACATCGTTCCCTATTGGCTTATCCACCTTGACTGAAAAAGTGGCGAATAAAAATAAATGCGTATTAAGGCCAACACATAACCTTTCCTCTCTGTCGTGTACGTCACCACTACACACTACACCGACATCATATATCTCTTCTTGAAAGTAACCACTTCCGCTACTTTGGGCTGTACATCAACAAAACACCTTGCAATCCATACGGCACTAGGAATAGTTAATCCGTGGAGACCTTTAAATAACGCAAAACGGCCTGTACTAGGAAATACAAAAGGTGTAGTCTTTCACCACAACAAAGCCCGACCGCCAACACGTTCCTTTGATGATCAAACAATTATTAACTAATCTGAATTCAGAAATTTTGTCGCACGCGCCATATGCTTCTCAAATTTCAACTAGTGACTACTATTTATTTCAGCCATTAAAAATTTTTAAATGGCCAAAACTTAAAGTTTTGAAAATGTTGAAAAGCTGTTCAAACACTCCTAGACTCAAAAGATGCGAAAGGAGTAGACATGCTACCTGAAAGATGGTAAAAAGTAATGACAAATAATAGACAATACATCTTCGAATAGTTAAAAATATGCCAGGTATAAAATATAAACATGTGCACGGTGTCCGTTTTAAATGTCCTGGCTGAATTTCTCTAGAACGCTATTTAAGAAAAAATTAATATTTTTTAGTCTAGTTTCAAATATTTACCTTTTTTGGAGAAAAATTATACCAGATACCTCAGGCACAGTTCAACTTAAAGATTTCAAATACGGCACTCTACGTCATAATCAGCGACCGCTGGGCAAGACAACAGCCATACGGATAATAATTGTAAGTCTGAAGTACATCTCTAATTTTCCATGATTTTCGGAGAGAGGAATTCGGATTTTTTGAAAATACAGTAAAATATTTAGGTGGTAAAAAAAAAAAAAAAAAAAAAAAAAAAAACGCTTACATTTCATACCATCTCCAAGATTTTAGAGAGAAGGTTTTTTTTGGAAAAGATTAATTTTGAGGTAAAAATGGTCAATTTGACATTCAAAAAATGTTAATTCGATGCGAAAAAGGGGTAATTTGATGGAAAAAAGCAGTAGACAATTTTCATTATTGGGTGTGCTACGATTTCTCGTAATATCTAACTGGTAAATATTCATGCATCAATCTATATGTTTATAAGAAAAAATTAGAAAAATGTTCGGTTACAGTCGACCTTATTTTTGAGCTATTCATGCAAGAATAAATACATTACTTATCGATTTAGCCATTCAATAAAACCACCCATATTATAATAACGCCTAGATAATTTTGTTGAATGATTATTTTAAGGGATAAAAAAATTGTTTCCACAAATGCCGTCCAACATGATTACAATAATTGTAAAACCCGTCATAATAGTATGCGTACAGTAATATTAGATTAAAAAATATTCAGAGCTCGTGCTGTGAATTAATTATTTATGTTGTTTAATTATTAATGTCTACATTGTATTTTGGTGCTACAAATTTACCTGATGTAGCTGTTGTATTTTTAACAGCGTGTGTAGTCCTGATGTCCTGGTTGTTCCTTTGTGTAAAGACGTTAAACAAGTAGTGACATGACGGCTTGTTGATGTACCTTTTTTTACTGCATTGTTTGTCATGCATCTCATGAAAATCTAGAAAGGAAGAAAAACAAGCGAAATTTGTGGTCTAAATTGGCTTGTGTTTCGCCAGGTGTTTACCATGGTTCGAAGTGTCGAGAGAAGAGAGAAATATGTACGTATTTGTTGTCCGAACGGGAGCAATAACAGGACGGTGGATATGAAATAGTGGCGTCGGGGGTTGGGGGTGGTTTGCGCAAGTCGTGGGGTAGGTCGGCCGGCGTTCGTTGTCGGAGGTCAGCAAGACAAGTCTCCATTCACTGTCTTACCCCTTCCTTTACCCTCCGGAGGAAACAAACAGACTCCCCCGGCGCCACCCGATCTTTATTTATACGTCTACCCAAAGAAGCCACCCCGTTGGTTCGCTTTGCCGACTAAAAAGATGTTACAACGATGTAGAAACTCGCCACCAGGTTCCCCATTCCAAAATCATTTCACTTTGGACTCATAACCAATGTATATATTATAGATGGTGAAATGTAAGATTTTAAAGTTCTTTTTGGTTATTATGACTAACTGGTAAAAGAAACGGATAATAACACCAAGGCCATCTTGCATAATACAATCTTTTGGATACACAGATGTCAGCACAATGAAAAAGCCCAATTTTTCCACTTAATTGCAACAAGTTTCGTTTTGGCTGCCAATAATTATTTTGTGTTTTCATAAAGATCATGTCAACTCTCGGGGTGTCGGTGTTTTTGAAAAAAAAAGGTCGTTTGTAAGTATGTGGGGTTTGAAATCGCCGTGTCAACGCCTTACGGCCACCGATGCCCCATTTAGCTTTGTTTGTTTGATGTCTATCGAATTTTAATGGATTATTTTCTTATTTTTAACCACAAGCAGCCTAGTAGGTTCGACAGTGGCGTCTTCCAAAGAATTATTGATAGGGAAGTACACATGCACAGTGAAAACATGGTTATTTAAACAAACTTTCATATCTAGGATTAACATCGGCCTTTTCTCTGATAATATGTCCACATGACAAATATCCCAATTTTGTCACTTTGCCGGAGTTTCGATTGTACTATCATTACGGCTTTGCATGTTGTTTATATACATATTATTAGCATTAGGTCATTAGATCGACAGTTGTGGAAAATGGATAAACATATTGCCTGGTACTTGGATTTTTTTTTTTATTTGGAAGTTACAAGTGGATAGTGTCAACGTACTTCTAGGGAAGCCACAAGTCAGGGACTCAAAAAAGCAACAAATATACCTGAGATGAATTATGCCCTTTAATGCAGTAAATAGATGCAATATTACCGAGTTTTCATTTCCGTCGCAACAAGTTTCGATTACGCTGTCGATAATTACGGCTTTGCGTGATCTTTGCTTGATGTTTATCAATTTTTACAATGTTTTATTATATTGGAATTGAACTGAAGCTATATTTCTAGCTAGGCTGTTTGCTGCTAATGAACGAAATGTTGGCAGATTCTTCTTTCAATCTTGATGATTTAAGAGGTTCGGCCAATTCAGTTCAATAGAGGATACATAGGTCATATGTGGAATGAACTAATCTTCGCCTCTTTATCTCACAATAGGTAGAGATATTAGTTAAATGTAAGATTTTTTCCACTTAGGTCGCAACAAGTATCGGTTACGCTATCAATAACATTCGGCTTTGCATGACGCAAGATGTTCACTTTGAACGAAGTTTTATTTTATTAGAATTAATGATCTAGAGGTATATTCGAATGTCGAGGGCATTGAAGGAATTTGGCAAGCACTGTGGCTTTACTTCCAATCAAAGAGCTATCGGTAAAGATGAACTATTTTTCGACTTTTTCTTTCATTGTATGGAAACAGATTGAATAAATTTGCAGCAACAAGTTTGATAAATAGACATTGCCTTTTGGACATGTCGGTTCAGTCAAAAAGTATAGGCAGATAAAAAATGGTATTTCATGACGATCAGTATGTTAAGCTGTACAGTTTATGTGTTATTTACCGTTATTTAGAATTATGTCGCTATTCTGGTCACAAGGTTCGGCAGTTACCGCTATTGATAGGTGGAAAATTGTCAGCTGCTTGGCCACATCCATGTGATTCTGCTATTACCTTAATAAATCATTACACTAAAAACGGGTACACACATATTTGACATGTACATTCGGCCCTTTCTCTCATTGTGGTTAGGTCATACATTTCAAAAGGTAATAGAACCTTGTTATTTTGAAATGACACTAAGCACTATCTTCAAAACAATTATTCAGTTTATAACAAAAGGTCATATTCGGGATCAATCTTCGGCTCTTTTTTTCATAATACGAAGATAGATCGATAAAATGTTGAAATCTGTTTACTCTGGTGGAGAGGAGTATCGTTTAAGCTAGCACAGTTAATTGTTATGGCATGACGCGTTTGCATGTTATTTTACACTATTGAAATTATCTGTATGTCAAATTTTGGTTAGTTGGTTTGACTGTTTCTGTTGTTGCGAAATCAGAAGTAGTAAGAATCATTTTACGTATGACATTACTAAACCAACTACAACTTAGACCCTTTTGGCCCTTTCTGTCATAATTGCTAGGCCATTCATGTCGTTCTGTAATTTTAGCTGTATCGAAAAGACTCGAATCACAGTTAAGTACAGTTCATACATAAGTAGTATATAGTTCACAACTGACGATCAGATTTTGGATGAATCTTCGGTTGTTATTCTCACAATACAAAGATTGGTGAAATTTTAATTTTTTTCATTCTGTCCGAGTGGCGTATCAGTTAAGCTGTCCTATATGGTTATTGCATGGCATTTTATTCCACTGACATCTATGCAATTTTCTGGCTAGTAGGCTTCAGTTTTGCTAGTTTTGCGGGATCGAAAGTAGGAGGTGCATGGAAACATTTCACAGATGACATTATTAAAGCAACTACAACTGACTAATTTGGCCCTTTCTCTCATAATTGCTAGGTTATTCATGTCATTCTGTAGTAGCTATATTGAAAAGACACGAATCACCGCTGATATAGTTTATATCGGAAGATCGTATTTTGGATGAATCTTCTTCTTTTTTCTTTTTTTTCATTTTGCCCGAGTGGCGTATCAGTTAAGCTGCCCATATCTGTACTGGTTATTGCACGTTATTTTATTCTATTGACATCTATACAATATTCTGGTTAATAGGCTTGACTATTTGAGGCGATCAAAAGTAGGACATGGACGTGTACTTGAAACATTAAGATGGCTCGGTATATGGGCGTCGGCGGATCGAAACTTTTAATCGTCACTAGCAAAGGAACTACAACCAACATAAAGCATAAAAACATCTAATTAGACGAGAAAAGAGGTGGATGGTGTAATTGATTGAGCAAACATCGTGGTAGGGGTGGCGGATGTGCAGCAGCTAGCAGCAGAGGCGAAGTAAATAACTGCTGGACAGAGATAAGAGTGGTGGGGGCAGAAGGGAGGCCAAGGGGTGGTAATGAAGCATCAGCTTTATAAAAAACAGCGCAGGAATTTTTTTATCGATCTTTTTCTGTCTCTCGCGCCATTCGCCCTCTCTCGCTTTCTCTTCTGTATGTGGCTCGGGGGCGGGTAGTGACATCTAGCGGTGGGCGGCAGAAAACCCCCCTCCACCCCCTCTCTGCCCCCGCCGGACAACACTCGCGGAAAAACCTGTACGGTTTTGTGCTCGAGAGGTTGAGAGCCAGTTTTTACTTGTGATGGTGCGCGAGCCGTGTGAAAAAAGTGGCTGTGGAAACGTTGAACCTCGCCCCAGGATGAGTTTAGTGTCCGTATAGGGGGTAAGTCGACTCATGTCTTGAGCCATGTCTTAAGTGTAACCTTCGTGTGTCTTAGACCACGTGTGTTCCCCACCACATGTCTTACATCCACCCCTCCTCCATGCAGGACTTCCCTTTGTTTACTACCTGTTATCGGCGTCCTCCTCGCGAGGCTCCTTCCACCCCTGGAGCTGCGACCCGCTCATTCCTTCTCTTAAGACACGACCCTTATATTAATTACCCCCTTTAATTAAAATAGTAAAAACAACCAAATTAAAACAAGCAAATCTGCTGGGATCCGATGGCAGATAAGAGTTACTAAGTAAAACATTCCTAAATATACTTGCCCTCTAACTACTCATAAAACGCAATCGTTCAACATCACCTGGGATACGTCTGAATTATAAAAAAACTCCATCAATGTTCTTGTTTTTATTGCTAATCTAAAAAAAAGAACATACCATCTACTAATAAAAATAGTACGAGAATAGCTCAGTTACAGAATGTACTTTTCAATCATTCATAAATCTGAGCGAGAATTATTCGACTAAACACGTGACCCTTGTTTATAAACAAAAATCATGAAACAACGCGGCCAGGAAGTTAATAATAAATTCACCCAAAGGAAGATATTTTACGAACCAATTACGCATTCTCCTATCAGAAACACTTTTTCCAATAATTAAACGATGTTTCCTTTGGTCTGAAAAAGATTGATATTAAATTACAGACATTTTAAAATTATGGGTAAAGTTCGCCTTGGAGAATCATTGTGTCACGTGTCAACGATGTTTAATATATTGAATTTATAATGTTTGTACAACTCGTAAGTTCTTCTGTTTTTACGAACTGGTCGAACACCCTTGACTGAAAGTTATTAGTATAAAGGATTTTGATAAATTCAATTAGCCCTTTAAAGTCGTTTAAACGTGACTCGTGTCAAACAAAGAATCTTAAACTTCTTTTAAAGCATTCACTAACTTTGTAAGCTTTTTATGTTCCTCTCTTGGTTTTTTACCAGATCGAAGATCGGTGGCTGACAGTTCATGATTATTGTACGTCTTGATATTTGCAAATATTAGAATAAGTGACCTGTCTATTTAAAGGCATTTAAAATCTTTGTGACTCTAGTTAAATACATAAGTGTAGTCTTGTAATTTGTAAGTTCTTCTGTTTTTACTAAGTTTACGATTTGTGTAAATGTTTTCGATGTATTCCACCTTTTAAGATATTTAAAATCATTTCACGTGTCAAGTAATGAATCTTAAACTTAATCTAAAGCGTTCATTAATTTTGTAAGCTTTTTAAGTTCCTCTCTTGCTTTTTACCTGATCAAAGATCGTCGACTGACAGTTCATGATTATTGTACATTATTCATATTTTTAAATTGTATTAGAATTAAAGACCGGTCTATTTAAAGACATTTCGAATCTTTATACCCCTTGTTAAAAGTAGTAAGTATGTCTAGTCTTGTAGTTGTAAATTTTCTGTTTTTACTATGTTCGACCTAATCGAATATCTCAGATATGATAGTTCTTCATTAGTGTAAATTCCAGATATTTTTAAACATTTGAATTGGGGACTATTTAAAGACGTTTGGTATCTAATCTTTATTTGATGTATAGTCAGTAACTGCAGTCTTGTAATCG